TCTCCATTGTGAGACTTGTTGTTACTGTTTCTGGCATATCAAATACACCACGGAGAGCTTGCCAGGCTCTGCCATGCGGGTGGGATACTCTCGGTAGCTTGCCAGGCTTTCTGAGAGGGGCAGAGGAATCGAACCCAGGTCGGCCGTATGCAAGGCAAACGCCCTACCCACTGTGCTACCGCTCCAAAGCAGCAGTGGAAAAAGAAGTATTTTCTTGGGAGCTGGAGAGACAGCACAATGGGTAGGGCATTTGCCTTGCACGCAGCCGACCCGGGTTCGATTTCCAGCATCCCATATGGTCCACTGTGCATCGCCAGGTATGACCAAAAAAGCAAAAAAAAAAAAAAGTATTTTCTTAACATGTCTTCACTTTTATAACAACTTCAATAGGAGCATCTGGACATCAGAGGGAAAGATAAAAAAAGAAACTGAGAGCTCAGGTCATGGAATTTGAATTTCATTTATTGCTTTTCCCTATTGTATAGTCCAAGAGGCTACAACCTCTCATTTGTTACCTTCTCATCTGACAATCAGTAGTACTAGAGTATATGGGGGAGACTTCATAGTGTATTTATTGCATCTAAGATGGTGTGCCTGAGGTACAGTGCTTGATTCCCTCAAAGGAAACCAACCACTGTACATGGGGTGCAAGCAGGGTTATCTGTTCACATACACAAAAGGCGACTCATCATTTCATTCAGTTGTAGGTTAAAAGCACTATTTGTAGAACCACTTGAATTGTTATTTTATTTTTAGTTTGGAAGCTTTTTATTGAGTGTATGATAAAATAGTTTACTTCACATAGATATGAAGGACAAGAGAGATACTAGGCAGATTAGCCATGGATTTGTCTTGACTGGCCACTTTGCTACCATTTCTCCTGGCCTCTTATTCAATAGTAACATGAATGATTCTCTACTTCAGTTAATCTACATTTCATGGAAACACCAGACTGTTCACCATTTTCAGCTTGCCCAGCAACTTGATAGTACTTAACTACTGTAATCCAAAAGCAGCTACTTAAACGTCACCATTTTCAAGCTGCTTTTTAGTTTTATTTTTAATTGAACATTCTTGTTTTGTTTGTGGGGGATATCTAATAGTGTCAGGAGCTACCCCCAGTTCACTGCTGGTAGGTTGTTCTACAGTGCTGGGGGACCGTGTCGAGCTGGGGCTCAAATCAAAGGTTCTTGCTTGCAAAACATATGCTCCAGGGGTCAGAGCAACAGTAACAGCAGGTAGGATGCTTGCCTTGCACATAGCTGATCTGCACTTGATCCCTGGTACTGTCAGGAATGATCCCTGAGCACAGACAGAGCCAACTATAGCACAACTCCCTCCTATGGCCTCATCCCCCCCCCAAAAAAAAAACTCATCCCAGCACACCCCACAAAGCCTTATGTGCTCCAGGTTTTGAGTTATCTCCCTATTTAAGTATTTATTGTTTTCTTGCTTTTATGTTTTTGTTGTTGCTGTAGGGAGCCCATCCCTAGCATTGTTCAGAGATTACTCCTAGCTGCCTATGGTTATTCCCAGTGATGCTGTGGTGGAGGGCACATAGTATGAGGATCAGACCCAAGTCCCCTGTATGCAAATCGTGTCCTTTGAGCTCTCTCTCATCCATAGCTATTTTTCTTTCTTTCTTTTTATTTTTTTTCTTTTTTTTTTTTGGCTTTTTGAGTCACACCCAGCAAAGCTCAGGGGTTCTTCCTGGCTCTGCACTCAGCAATTAGCCCCAGTGGAGCTCAGGAGATCAAATGGGATGCCGGGAATCGAACCCAGGTCAGCCACATACAAGGCAAATGTCCTCCTCACTATATTATCCCGATAACTATTTCTTAAACAAAAATTAAATAATAAAATTTCTTGCATCTTGTATGTTTCATACATTATCTTGCTATACACTTGTAAACACACACACACACACACATACACACTTTTTCTTTTACAGTGTCAGGGAAACACTTGGTTATGGTTTCAGGCGAAACTTGATAATTAATTCTCAATCTTGATGGTCTGATTCCAGTATTTCTTTTTTTTTTTTAACCAATTCACTTTTAATTTTTTTTAAATTTTGACATTACAGAGCTAAACTGAAATTTATTAACATTCCACTCTTATATTTCTAAAAATATGGAACGCTTCACGAATTTGCGTGTCATCCTTGCACAGGGGCCATGCGAATCTTCTCTGTATCGTTCCAATTTTAGTATATGTGCTGCCGAAGTGAGCACAATTCCAGTATTTCTTGATGAATTGGGGTCAATGAATTGAGATAAGATGAGGAAGTCTAGAAAGAGAGTTATATTAGAAGTCAGAAGCTGTAATGAGGATTTTTAGAATTAAAACACCTGTATGCTTGTGTCAATTACAAAGCACAAGCATAACTAAGCAGGCAGTGAATGTTACAGACCGTCTTACAAGAGCAACACAATTATTCACCAATTTTAGACCTCAGAGAAGAATGAGGGAGCATCCAGTGACTAGGTGTGTCTGGCTTGTAATTGTAAGTTTGTAGGTTCAGTTCTTGGTGTTGCTGCAGGCACTGAGGACTATTGGCAGTTTTGTTGTTTGAGTCTGGAAGCTCTGCTGTCTGTAATTCACACTGCAAGTGATTTGAGACAGGTACGTGGAGCACAAATGAGAAGAGGGTGCAACCCTTGACGAGCATCACAACTGAAAGATGTGCAAGGACTATTCCAGGAGAATCATGCATGTGTGAGCACCAAAGTAACACCCAGCAAGTGCACGTGCAGTTCCACCGCTAAAGAGGTGTAGTCCTTAGCAAGCACTGAGGCTGAGTTTGCACAACCAGCTGTTTCAGTCCTGGGGAGCACCACAACCAAATATACGCCAAATAAATATACACACCACAGCCATCATGTGTGTGACCCCAAATCTCTGTATCAAATCTCTGTATCAATGTATCACTGTCATCCTGTTGTTCATCGATTTACTAGAGGTGGTACCAGTAATGTCTCTATTCCTTCCAGCCCTGAGATTTCAGCAGCCTCTCCTTACTCATCTTTCTCAGTGATTGGAGACTCTTTCAGGGTCTTTTATTGCTACTGGTTTTGGCATATCAAACACACTACGGGGAGCTCGCCAGGCTCTGCCTGTGTGTGACCCCAAATGGTGGCAAAAATAACCATGATGAAGAGAAAATAGTCAGAATGAAGAAAATCCCCCCTAAAACCTCAGATCCCAGGATTCTGTCCAACTCGCTAAATTGATAGAGGTCAAATGCTATGAAATTCCCGATAGTTCTTAAGAAGTTATTAATGATTTGGATGTTAGGTCTCAGCTTACTCTTCAGAAGGTATCTATAGTATCATTTTTGTATACCTTATTGGTATAATAATTTCCATTTCTTATTGTTTCAGGCAATAGAGAGGAAGGGAGCATTTAAAACAGAAAGGGATCATGGTACTTGAGATCAAGAGACAACGTTAGCCTGTTTTCAAGTAATTTGAATTCACTGAGAAATAAAATAAGAAACTCTATATCTCTAACTTCTGTGATAGTCATAAGCAATGTATCTATCTACATGTATATAAATATATAATTTTAAATAGAAAACATTCCAGGAATTTGTTGTTTCCTTGAACTTCTTAACAAACCCTGAAAATGATCTTTCTGGACAAGAACTGAGTGGCTGAATAAATAGCAGTATTCCTACATTTAAAAAAAAATTTTTTTTTTAAGGATTTTGGGCCAAACCTGGCTTTGCTCAGGGGTAAGTCCTGGCTCTGCATTCAGGAATCATTTCTGATGCTGCTCGGGGACCATATGGGATGCAGGGATGGATCTTAGGTCATCTATGTGCAAGGCAAGTGCCTATCTATTGCTATCTCTTCGGCCCCAACTCCTCATTTTTTAATTAAAGAAATCTGTTATTGAAAAAAAAAAGTAGTAAAAGGATATTCTTTTTTTTTTCTTTTTGGGTCACACCTGGTGATGCACAGGGGTTACTCCTTGCTTTGCACTCAGGAATCACTCCTGGTGGTGCTTTGAGAACCACATAGGATGCTGGGAATCGAATCCGGATCGGCTGCATGCAAGGCAAATGCCCTAGGTAAAGGGATATTATTGGTAACCTTTCAGTATCAATATCATAAACCATAAAAGAGGACAGAGAGAGAGAGAGAGAGAGAGAGAGAGAGAGAGAGAGAGAGAGAGAGAGACAGAGACAGAGACAGAGACAGAGACAGAGACAGAGACAGAAGAAAAACCCCTGCCATAGAGGCAGGCAGGGGGAAGAGGGTGGGGGGTGATGGGAGGGAATATGAGGACACTGGTGCTGAGAAATGTACACGGGTGGAGTGATGGGTGTTGGAATATTGTATGACTGAAATCTAATCATGAACAGCTTTGTAAGGGTCTATCTCACAGTGATTCAATTAAAAAAGTAAAATAAAAACAAATAAAAAACAAACCCCGAAACATTGCAAAATAAATTATTTCCATTATTTTTAAATTTCATTTTACAAAACAAAAAAAGGTAATCATTTTCACATTTATTGATGTACCCTATTAGTTAGATAAACTAGACAATTAAAAAAATCTTGGGTAAACAGCCACCACTTTGAAGTAAGATAGGTAAAGAGAAAGCATTTCAACACGAGTTTTGCTGCCACAAAGCCCTTGGGAGTCTTAAGTAAGAGCTTCAGAAATCCTTCTGAGAAGGACAAAAGAGAGACTTCCTGTCACTTCCATTGGTTTCTGCATGTGGGACCGATATGGGCAATGCAAAGTTTAAACAGATGCAAATGGTGAAGGGAAGGAGGCAGAGTCTTGGCTTGTGACACAGAGTTTTCGGTATCCAGAGTCACTTGAAGTCAGTTTTCCCGAGTTTTTCTGAGTAACATCCTCTGAAGTTACTGCACGCTGGAATGCTTTATTTCACCAATATTTGCTTATGGAAATAAAGGGGAGTGACGGCGGGGGTGGGTAGGCAGGGGACGGGGGGAGCGTAGGAGGAGATGAGTGGAGGAGGGGTTTGAGGCCGGGGGAGGCTGACCACAGCGCCGCGCACCAGTAACCTTGTCTGATGTGATCATTAACCTTTTTGGAAAGTGCAGCTGGCAGATCTCCGAGGTTTGTCATTAGAATGTGAGGAGAACTACTTAAACAGTCAGTTGCACGGACTATTCACTGACTATTTACTCTGAGAGCTACTGCTTTCCTTCGGCGAGGCAGAAACATGAGAGTTCAGCAAGTCTTCTTTGTAGTTATTTTTTTGCTGAGTCTTGTACTCACCAATGGACAGAGATCAGGTAAGATTGATGATTTTTATGGAGTTAAGTTGTTTTTGATGCCTGTCTGTGTCTGTGGGTCTCTGAGTGGGACCGCGTTTATGCTGAGAATCCTTTACATGTGCTTGTGGGTAAGTGGGGTTAGTAAATATATAGGATTTCGCGAGTGTACTAGCTAGATGTATTAATTTGATCTTTTTTTTTAAAAAAAAGGTAAATGTATTACCAGTACTTTTTTAAATGATTGAAAATTGATTCCTAAGCTACTGTGATGTTTTTAAGTTAAAATAAGAAAAATGGAAATACTTAGCCTATTCCTTATAGAGATAAGGAAAGTTAATAGATTTTAAGTAAAATGCAGTTTAGTCTCTTTTGCGACACAGTTTTTTGAAAAGGATGTTGTTGACAGGAGTACAACAAGGTTAGTGAAACGAACCACATATGCAAATCATAATGTTGCAAATGTAGACGAAATCTTAAATTCGGTCAATAGTTATTTCTTCTTATAATGATCTATGTGTCACCTCTAAAAATAGTGTATGGGGGAATCATTTCCAGTATTTTGCTTCCGGAGCCAAAAATGTCAAAAATATCTACGTAAAAAATTATCTATGGTGATAGTAATATGATTAACTTGCTCTATTTTTCAAGGATAACAACTGTGTTTTTACTAAGCAGCAAGTATAGCTAACAATTATTTTAATGTGTTTTTACTCCAAATTCAAATATTTAGGATTTTAAAATATGGGTAAGTAAAATTATAGTTTGCTACATTAAGACAAAACAGACTTAAATGAAATAAAAAGGTGAATACATTTATATTTAAGTGCTAGAAAATTCATTTGAAAACATACTCCACTTTAAAGCAGAAAATGGTTCATAAATGATTTGAAAAAAATCATTGTCTTTTACTTTAAATGATGTCCTCTGTCTGGTTGCCCTTTTACATGAATTAGGAGTTTCAAATCTGAAACTCTGAAGACAGCTGATCTGTTCTTACTGTTTATAGCAGTTGCTATTCAAACTATTTCTACTTTTTTTGAATACTAATCACCTTGGGCAGTGTTCATGTAAAATACTTGTTATTAATTCACTACATAAGGAAACTTCAGGAAGAAGTCATATAAGACAGAAGAGGCAATTCCTAGCAGATTCTGACATAATGAACTGGTAAAAATGCAACTCATGTATACGCATCACGTTTATTTGGATATCATAAACACATTCAAACATAACAATTTTCAGGGAATTGCTTGCGATATTTCTTTTTTTTTTTTCTCAGCTACTTCAACAACAAGAATAAACTCATACAGAAAAAACTGCCGTCAGAGGAGATGTCGACCTCTTCATTCACGGGTGCCCTTCCCCTGAGGTATTTCTCACAGAAAATTGTTTTGCTGCATTTAGGCAATGGTCCAGATAAGATAGATAATACCAAAGAACATTCATTCACATTTTGTGATATATGATAATAGTCCTGTGGTGAAGCTTGTTTAAGGGATGCAAACCAACAGAATGGTAAAATGGGATGATGTTTGAAAATTAAGAATTGAATGGGGTGGATGACGAAATAGACGGAAAATCTTGATGTGTGTTGAATCAGTGACAGTAATATGGGATTGATACTATTTTATGCATTTGAGAATTTTCATAAACAAAAAGCAAACAAGCAACAGGGGTCGGAACATAGCTCAGAGACAGGCTAGATGGAGATTGACGGTTGATCCTTGACACTGCACGGTTTTCCCAGGTACTGCTGGAAGCACAAGTGAGGAATATTCTTTCCTTGAGCCCAGCTAGGTAGGAGTGGCTCCAAAACCAACATATAAGATAAAAATCATTTAAAATGTATTTTTCAAAACATTAAATAGTTCCCTGTTATCCAGCATATTAGTGGTTGTAGAGCACTGACTGCCCATGTGTCAGGCCCTAGGTTCTGTCATCAGCACCAGAAAAACAGCAGCAACAACCCAAAAACCCATGTGATTCCCCCAGGCCCACCGGGAGTGATGTCTGAGCACAGAGCAGGGAGTAATCCCTTAACAGCACTGGGTGTGGCTACGAACCTCCCAAGATAATAAATAAAATTTGAAGAAACCCAAAACCAAAACTCCAAAAAGACAAAAAAATGTATTTTTCATTTTCCTTTTTTGCCTAACACCAACTAAATGCGATTTAATTTTCCTGAAAATAATTTTTTTTGGGGGGCAGGGGTAGGTTTGGGCCACACCTTGTAGTGCTGGGGTTACTCTTGACTCTGTATTGGGCTTAAGTCAAGGTTACTCCTGGGGGTGCTCAGGGAATCATGCAGTGAGTGTCCAAATCAAATCAAGACAAAGCAAAGGCTTTAGCCCCTGTAATATTTCTCTGGTGCCATTTTAAAAAATATATAAAATCAACCTAATATTACAACATGGCAGCTTCCCAGCTTCATTTCATTCATAGAATTGTTCTTCCTCTCCTTTTTTTTTTTTTTTTTTGCTTTTTGGGTCACACCTGGTGATACTCGGGGCTTACTCCTAGCTCTGCACTCAGGAATTACTCCTGGCAGTACTCGGGGGACCATATAGGATGCCGGGGATTGAACCCAGGTTGGTTCCTACCTACTGTACTATCGCTTCAGCCCCAAATCATAGAATTGTTCTTGATGGTTGCATCCTTAAAGATAAATTCTGAATATAACTTGGCTCTGCCATTTTTATAAACACTCACTGAAATGTCATTGATTTTATTCCACCACCACCAATAATCATACCTGAGTTCAAACAGTAGTGTCAAAAGTTGCCCAATTTTGCTTCTTCATACAAAAAGACAAGTAACAGTATTTTATTGTAATTATTTTAAAGCTCTTTCACTCATATTGTCTACCTAAAAAAATCTCAAGCCTAAAGACACAGGCAATTGCTAAATTAGCTAAGTCAGTCAAATCTGTAGACTGTTTATGACACCATTCATTCAGAGGAAAGGATTGCTATGCCTATTGTTTAATAAGAGCTTTTCAAACTGTGCAAATGCCGGGTAGTAGGACTTTAAATGAAAGACAAGCAATTAAGTCATAAGCATTTATCAAGAAAACTAAGACAAAAAGCCAAATTCTCTATGCCTGTATCTGTAACAAATTGTTCTTTGCTATCAAAATATGAAAAATAGGTTTGGTGAAGGAATCCAAAAAGATACAAAAAGATGTTCCCAGGAAACCAATTAATGGGCACTAAAACATACTTTGAAAGGATTTTATGTGTTAACAAATCCTTTGGTATATGTCAATAAAGCATTTCAGTCTCACATATAAATAATAGTAAAATCCACTCGTAGGGGGAGTAAAGAAGTTCAAGATTTTCCCAGCACTCCTCCACAAATAACAAAGAGAGAGATGGCATTTCACAATAGCAAGGGAATTCCTGCATATACAGAGAAAGATACTGGCAGAAAGTAAATAAAAGCTTTTAGTTGGCCACACAGGTTATATTTGGCTTTCGCCACAAATCACCTGCCATAAAAACCAGACTTACAAGTAAACAAAACAGAGTAGTGAAATTTGAATTGTCAAAGCTAAGTGAAAATTTGACCTATAAACCAAATGTGTAAACTAGAGGGAAATTAAAACAAAAGCTATATAAACTATTGAATAATAACAATCCTTTCCAAAATTTGGCTGATTGCTTTAAAGAACTGCTCAGATTACAACATTAATTTTCTCAGTGTTTAGACTGGACCTGCATTCAGTTATAGTTCTTTGAAGAATGTGTAAAATTCCCATCTTGGAATCTACTAATAGCATAAGAGCCAATGCAAAATAAACTGTAATTTCCAAATTCTTGCTCAGCCAGCACTTATAATTACAAGTGCTACCTTAATATTTTACAGTGTGATTCTCACTGTCTTAAATACTTGTGAAAAAAATGTTTTTGAGTTATACCTGGTGGTATTTAGGGGCTTCTTCCTTGCTCTCCAGCAGGACTGGGAACCATACAGGGAGTGATGGAAATAGGATTCTCATGAAAAGCGTGTGCTCTGCCCATTGAATTATTCCTCCAGTCCCAATTCTTGCACATATTTAATATATCTTAAAACACATCAACCCAACCCTTGGGGAAAGTCACATAAACCCAGTAGTGCAACTCTAAAGCAGACTTTTCGTTTCACCCATGACCCTCTGCTTTCAGCACACTTTAGATAAAAATCACAGTAGTTACTTGATTCAGGTAGGGTCAAGTAAGATTGTTAAAGGATAAGTAAAATAAACAGTTGGCTTTAGTTTTCCATATTAACCCTCTAGAACTGCTTCAGACCCATCAGAATGAATCTTTTTAGCTTAGCTCACTTGATGGACCATGCTCATTGGTGCTCAGGGACAATGCAAGCAGACATTTTTCAATTGTTCTATTACTGATGGACTGAAGTGATAGCACAGAGGGTAGGGCATTTGCCTTGCACACAGCCAACCCGGGTTTGATTTTTCCGCCCCTCTCAGAGATCCCGGCAAACTACTGAGAGTATCTCGCCCACATGGCAAAGCCACGCAAGCTATCCGTGCCATATTTGATATGCCAAAAACAGTAACAACAAGCCTCACAATTTGTTGTGAGACATTACTGGTGCCCGCTCCAAGCAAATTGATGAATAACGGGAGGACAGTACTACAGTGCTATTACTGATAACAACTAGTTTAGTGTTTGTCTATAGATTTCCTTATCCTGGAAATTTCCTTATCCTTTCCTTATTCTACCACATATCAATTGATTCTTACAGTTGTTTCTTCTATGGTTGACTTCTTTCACTTTGCATGTTCAAGGCCCACCACCGTCAGACATATACTTTACTATGAATTGTTTTCTTAGTGGTTGCTCAAAGACTGTTTAACTTACCAAGATCTTCAGATTATTCTATTTTCAATTCATTGAGATGGAGAAGTACCTATCTAGCACTATTCTCTCTTCTTTTAAATTCTACTGCAGTTACATATATACATTTTGTATCTGGTTTGACTATAGTTCTTCTATTTATTACCATGCTGAGGATCAAAACGAGGGCCGAACTTGTGGCCATGGACACTATCACCAAGTCACATTCTCAGCCCTTATAATCTTTTGATAAAATTTCAGCTCTTTTAAACCAATAGACAAAAAAGAGCAGAAACACATTTATAAAGTTTGTTAGATAAGGCTTCTTCGTTACTACTCTTGGTGCTTATCATTAACAGATTTTTCTGTTTTAATCTATTCAGGCTGCTATAACAACCTGGCATAAAGTAGGCGAGTTTATTATTTTTTTCTCATAATTCTGGTGTCCAAGAAGAAAGCACTGGCTGATTCATTTTCTGCTGAGATTCCTCTTCTTGGTTCAGACATCTGCTGTCTGCTCTGACCTCAACTGGTGACAGGAGCATGGGAACTCTCTGATTTCTGTTCTATAAGAACATGAATAAATCCCAATCATGAGAGCTCCAGGCCTATTACCTGAAGTCCCCCCTTGCAGATACTGGAGATGTAGTTTTAGACATTAATTGGAGAGAAGTACATTCAATCTGCATAGCACTGGGATAAATGTTTCACCATTAGCGATCTTAAAAAAATGTTCAAGAAATTTAGATAGTTTTTAAAAATAATACACTTTTCACTTGTCTATTTTAATTGAGATTCACAGAGCTCTTTACAGAGTAAAAAATTTTGTTGCTCTCCGTTGGGCTGGAGCAATAGCACAGCAGTTAGGGCATTTGCCTTGCACGTGGCCGACCCAGTCGACCCGGGTTCAATTCCTCCACCCCTCTCAGAGAGCCCGGCAAGCTACCAAAAGTATCTCACCTGCACTGCAAAGCGTGGCAAGCTCCCCGTGACGTAGTCAATATGCCAAACACAGTAACAACAAGTCTCACAATTTGTTGTGAGACGTTACTGGTGCCCACTTGAACAACGAGATGACAGTGCTACAGTGCTACAGAGCTGTTAGTTTGGAGGTGCTAACATATCTGGTGGTTCCCAGGGTCTGCTTCTTAGTTGACTGCTTGGGGGTTACTCCCAGCCTTTGGTTCAGGGGACCATTTGTGCTAGGAACTGAAGCTGGGGCAATCGCACATGAAAAACATTTGCTCTCCAGCCCTCTGAACTATCTCCCTGGCGTTAATTTTTTTTAAGTGGCCACCAGATTATTCATAGATTTATTCAAATTATTCAAATTTATTTATTTAAAATATTTTTCAAATTATTTGAGTTTACATGGATGCTAGTGGAAAAGTGCTCTCTAGAAAAGCTTCACATCTGTACACTTCAAATAATAAGTCATGAAAAGGCCTAAGTCCCATACTCTTGCCAACAGTGCATCTTCTCCTTTCTCTTAATTTTTGCCATTCTAATAAACCAAGAATTCATCTC